TCAATTACTGTATCTAGATAAGTGCTTTAAATTGGAAAATTTTTAAAACATTTTCTGTTAATAGTTTGATCTGTACATTAGATCACACTATGTCCATGAGTGCTGTCCACCCTTTTACAGAACTTGAAATGGGTTATGTTAGAAAAATGTTGTAATTGGCAGTCTGTGACCAAAAGGACCAATTTCTGAAGTTTGCAAAGTCAAGGACTAATTTGTAAAGGTCTAAAAGTTCAGGGACTTGTGTTGCAATTTAGCAAAAGTTATGGTATAGGTCTAGGGTAAAGTTGGGTGCCTTGAAGATGAAAACGGCGCAAGATCATGCTAGAGTTTCGCTCTCACCTCGCTCGAGCCTAAATAACAGAACCTATATCGCTAGAGTTTCGCCACTGCTTCGCTCGAGCGAAAGTGCGTCGCTAGAGTTTCGCCGACACTTCGCTCGGGCGACAGTACTATCCGGCTTTTGGTAATTTTCCTTCCTTGCAATTTTTAGACGCTTCATACTACCAAAAACGACCTCATATATATTCAAAAGTCTCTTTTTCATACACAACCTTTGGAAAAACCCAATTGAAAGATTTTTCCTCTCAACCAAAGGATCAACTTCATAATTCCTTCTTTTCATCATATGTCTTATTGAAGAAAAACATCAAACACCTCTTAAAGCAAAACATCTTCCAAAAATCCTCACTACTTCCAGAAGATCGACTGATTGAAGATCTGGGAAGGAGATTGATTGAAGAACTGGAGTTCTTGCTGATTCACAGGAAATAGAAGAAGAACAAGGCTGGGATTTTGGCACAGATCTGCAGAATCCAGGAGAGCTTTGATTGATACAGTAAGGAGGTCAGAGTGTTGTTAGATACAGTCATGTCTGGCGTACTGTAAGTTGAAGTCTTCTATAGTGAATTTCTACTGGCTTGTGCCTGGAGTTTTTACCCAGTTGGGTTTCTCCGTTAACAATTTGTTGAGTTATTTATTGCTTTTTGTCATTTTTAATTTAATTGAAAATTCAACATAGGTAGTTAAATCATGTGAATGAATCTGGACAAAGTTTAATTTATATGACTTGTTGCATAAGTTAATTGAATTGTTAAAATCCGTATAAACACCTATCCACCCCCCTCTAGGTGGTGTTTGGGTCGAACTATAGCCTGTTCAAGTGGTATCAAAGCCAAATCTCGAGTCCTGGCCCATAGTTGTTTAGATGAGTCAATCACTTTCTGTACCTCCGTATTTTGACGGAAGTAATTATACTTACTAGAAGGTTCGAATACGTGCGTTCCTTAAGTCTCTAGATGAGCATGTTTGGGTGAGTGTGCAAAATGGCTGGAAACCTCCCTCCACTACCGTATCAAGAACTGTTAATCTTACTGATATATCACTATGGACTCAGGATGAGATAGTTGAGTGTAATTGGAATAGCAAGGGACTTCATGCCTTATTTATGGCTGTGTCTCCCAAAGAGTTTAGGAGAGTGTCAATATGCGAAACTGTTAAAGAGGTTTGGGACACTCTTGAAACTACACATGAGGGAAATAAAACGGTAAAGAACTCGAAATTACAAATGCTAGCTTCTAGGTTTGAAGAAGTGAGGATGAAGGATGATGAAACCTTTGATGAATTTTATGCAAAACTGAATGATATTGTTAATTCTAGTTTCAATCTAGGCGAAAGAATTCTCGAGTCTAAAATTGTTAGAAAAGTACTTAGGTCCTTGCCTGAGAGATTTAGACCTAAAGTTACTGCCATTGAGAAAAGTAAGGATCTAGATGAAGTTAAGATTGAAGAACTTGTAGGATCCTTGCAAACTTATGAACTCACTGTCACACAACCTAAGAAAGGAAAGTCCATTGCTTTAAAATCCATCAAAGAGGATGAATCTTCTGATATTGAGTCTTTTAGGGACGATGAAATTGCATATTTTGTTAAGAAATTTCAAAAGGTTCTCAAAAATAGGAGAAAGCCTCAGGATAGAAAAAGTGGAGCCCCTAGCAGATTCTCAAATGAAAAAACTGAAAGGTTCAACAATAAAGGTTCTAGTGATAAACCACGTTTGGTTAGATACCATGAATGTCAATGTATAGGTCACTATAGGAATGAGTGTCCTAGTTATAAGAAGAATCAAAGAAAAGGGAAAGGTAAGGCCTTAGTTGTTTTACTTACAGATAACGAATCTGAGTCTAGTGATAGGCAGGAATCATCTAGTAGTGAAGATGAAGGGAACTATATGGCATTTATGTTGACTGTTAAGAGTGAATCTGATAAGGAGAGTGACAAGGTTGAGGAAGAACTTCACAACGATAATTCTAGTAATGAGGATGAGGATGATATAGACATACAAGAGGCCTATCAACTCTTGTTCAAGGAGAGTCTTAAAATTAAAAAGGTCAATAAAGCCCTACTCAAAAAGGTTGATGAACTTGAAAGAGAAAAAGAGAGACTTGCTAGTAATCTTCAGAATTCACTTAAGAGTGTTAGTGAGTTAAAATGTGTTAATGAGAAGTTAGAAGACAAGGTTAAGACATTGACTAGTGAATTGGAGAAATCTAATGCTCATCTTTAGACTTTCATAAGTGGGACTAAGAAATTGGATGATATTTTAGGAATGAATAGGCCTGCGGGAGATAGGAAAGGTCTAGGATACGTTGAGGATAATACACATGTTGCTAGTCCATCTAAGACTGTATTTGTTTCTGCCTCTAAGAAGTCTAACGTTGTTAGCAATCCAAATAAGGGTAAGAATGTTTCAAGGGAACAGAGTCATCAATCACGTGGGAATATCATGCTCAGATACCCACAGACATGTACCTTTGAGCCTAGGTTCATTCCAACCTGTCACCACTGTGGAGCTCTAGGACACACTAGGCCTAAATGTTATAAGTTAGGCAATGAACGTAGAAATCAGAATATTCCTAGTCAGGTTAGCTTTCTATCTAATCAGGTTAGTTTGGGTTAAAAGGGGGATCTAGCTAACTAGGAGTACCTCGTCGTCTAAGAAAGTTTGGGTTAAAAGGGGGATCTAGCTGGACATTCAGGTCAGATAAATTGTTATGTTGCTCATGTTGCATTAAAAGCCCAAAATTACAATATGTGGTACCTTGATAGTGTATGTTCTAGGCATATGTGTGGTAACAAGGTTTTATTCACTACTCTTGATGAATGCAACGAGGGTATGGTTACCCTTGGAGATGGGGGTTCTGTACCTATTCTTGGCAAAGGTACTGTACAAATGCATGGATTACCTGTGATTTCAAATGTGCTTTATGTGGAAGGTTTAAAATCGAACTTGTTAAGTATTAGCTAGATTTGTGATGCTGATTTTGTGGTTAGCTTTGTGCAAAAGAGATGTACTGTGTATGATTCATCCGGTGGGGTGGTCCTTGAAGGGGTTAGAACGTCTGATAACTGTTATAGAGTCCTACCTAATTCTAACTATGTGTGTAGGAGTGCAAAAATTGATGTGAGTGAACTCTGGCACAAAAGATTGGGTCATTTAAACTATAAGAGTCTAGTACAGCTGGCTAAAAAGGAGTTGGTAGATGGTTTGCCTAAAATAGGTCCTAGTGAAAATGTTGTGTGTGGACCATGTCAACTAGGTAAACAACTTAAGGGAAGCCATAAAAAGACTTCTAAAATTCTGACCAAAAGACTCCTGGAATTGATACACATGGATTTAATAGGACCATCTAGGACTGAGAGTCTAGGAGGTAAGCGGTATATTTTGGTTGTGGTAGATGACTTCTCGAGGTTCACATGGATAGAATTTCTTAGGGAAAAATCTGATGCATGTGATCTTATAAAATCTTTGTGTAAACGGCTTAGTAATGAACTCAATCTCAAAGTGTCCAGAATGCGTAGTGATCATGGAAAAGAGTTTGAAAATTTTAATCTTGAGAGCTTCTGCATGGATGAAGGGATACTACATGAGTTTTCTTCCCCTATCACTCCTCAACAAAATGGGGTAGTTGAAAGGAAGAATCGTGTTCTTCAGGACATGGCTAGAGTCATGTTTCATGACAAGGGACTAGCCTTACATTTTTGGGGAGAAACTGTTAATACTGCATGCCACATAATCAATAGAGTCTACCTTAGACCCAAAACCGATCAGACTCCATATGAGATTCTAAAAGGTAAAAAGCCTACTGTTAATACTTTCGTGTGTTTGGGAGTAAGTGCTACATTTTGCGTGATAGAGAGAACTTGAGTAAGTTTGAATCTAAGAGTGACGAAGGAATTTTCTTAAGGTACTCTAGAAATAGCCGAGCATTCCGAGTATATAACTCACGTACTCGTGTTGTGATGGAGTCAGTCAATGTTGTGATAGATGATGCTGTGAGTGAGGGGGAGAATGTTGAAAATTGTGATAGGATGAATGATAGAAATGGTGATCTTATAAGGTCTAGTGATCCTACTGAACCACCTGTGTCTGAATCATCTCTTAGAATACCTAAAACACCTGAAAAGGAAACACATCCACAAGATCGAGACAAAAATCCTAAGGAACCATCGTCCAGGGTCAAGTCCAATCATCCTAAGGACAATACCATTGGGGATCTAGATGAAGGTATGAGGCTTCGTAAGAGGGTACTGAACAATCTAGCGTATGCTAGCTATGTTTCACAGGTTGAGCCCAAGAAAGTCGAAGAGGCTCTTAGTGATGAGTGTTGGGTGAAAGGGGGAGAATGTTGAAAATTGTGATAGGATGAATGATAGAAATGGTGATCTTATAAGGTCTAGTGATCCTACTGAACCACCTGTGTTTGAATCATCTCTTAGAATACCTGAAACACCTGAAAAGGAAACACATCCACAAGATCGAGACAAAAATCCTAAGGAACCATCGTCTAGGGTCAAGTCCAATCATCCTAAGGACAATACCATTATGAAGGTATGAGGCTTCGTAAGAGGGTACTGAACAATCTAGCGTATGCTAGCTATGTTTCACAGGTTGAGCCCAAGAAAGTCGAAAGGCTCTTAGTGATGAGTGTTGGGTGAATGCGATGCATGAGGAACTAAATCAATTTGCTAGAAACAATGTGTGGATTTTAGTTCCTAGACCTGAAAACTGTAATGTTATTGGTACTAAGTGGATCTTTAAGAACAAGACAGATGACCAAGGTACTATAACCAGAAATAAGACCAGATTAGTTGCTTAGGGTTATACTCAAGTTGAGGGAATTGATTTTGATGAGACTTTTGCTCCTATTGCACGACTTAAATCCATTCGGATTCTGCTTGCTGTTGCCTGTACCCTAGGGTTCAAGCTTCATCAAATGGACGTTAAGAGTGCCTTCTTGAATGGACTTCTTCAAGAAGAAGTCTATGTTGAACAACCAAAAGGATTTGTTGATCCAAAGTTTTCCCACTATGTCTACAAACACCACAAAGCACTCTATGGTCGGAAACAAGCTCCTAGAGTTTGGTATGAGAGACTTACGTCATATCTTGAGGAACATGGGTTCTCTCAAGGTGATGTTGATATGACCTTATTTATTAGACATATTGAAGAAACTATCACTATTGCCCAAATTTACGTCGATGACATCATTTTTTGTTCTCCCATTGAGTCTCTAGCATATGAGTTCGCCGAGTGTTTGAAGCAAGAATTTGAGATGAGTATGGTTGGTGAGTTGCATTACTTCCTTGGACTCCAGGTGAAACAGACTGAGGATGGGTTGTTTATTTTACAGTCTAAGTATGCAAAGGATTTAGTTAAGCGTTTTGGGTTAGATAGTAAGAAGCATACTAGGACACATATGAGTACTAGATTGAAGTTAGGTCGTAATCCTTCAGGTAAGAGTGTAGATCCTTCACTATATCGAAGTATGATAGGTAGTCTTCTCTATCTCACAGCTACAAGACCTGACATTGCTTTCAGTGTTGGAGTGTGTGCTCAATTTCAGGCAAATCCCAAAGAATCACACTTAAGCTCGGTTAGACGTATCATTAGATATGTGAGTGGTGCCGTTGATCTAGGCATTTTCTATTCTAGAGATTCTAATCTTGATTTGGCTGGCTACTTTGACGCCGATTGGGCTGGGAATGCAGATGATAGAAAAAGTACGTCTGGGGGCTGTTTCTACATGGGTAGCAATCTCGTAGCCTGGTTAAGTAAGAAACAAAATTTCATATCCCTATCCACGGCAGAGACCGAATACATAGCAGCTGGGAGTTGCTGCACTCAGTTTCTCTGGATGAAGCAAATGCTGAGTGATTATGGGATTAATTAAGGGACCGTGATTGTTTTCTGTGACAATACCAATGCTATAAATATATCTAAGAATCCTATTCAACATTCTCGAACGAAACATATTGACAGACGACATCATTTTATTTGTGAACTTGTTGAAACACATGTTGTCTTCCTAGATCATGTCTCTACTGACAACCAATTGGCCGATCTACTTACGAAACCACTAGATGGGTTGAGGTTTGAGTCGCTTCGGACGACTGTTGGTATTTGTTTGCCTATCTAATCTGGATTCATGCCTATTCATGTATTTATCACATCTGCACTTATTCACTTCATATCTTGCATGTGATCAATATGTGTGTGGTGCATTTTGATTGTTGGTTCGTCTTTTAGTTTTATTTTGTTTACTAAGTTTGTGTGAGAAAAAAAATGGGATTTTCTTTTTGTGTGCCTCTTGTGTGACTTTATGACATTTGCGTTTAGGATCAAACTCTATCTTTCACCATATGTACGAGTCTGAGGTTCCATCGTAGTTCTCATTTTCTGTGGAGTTCTTGGTATATGGCTCGTCATGCATTTTCACACAACACACACTGTAGTCCTATAGGTGAGTCTTAACCGCATGGGTGAGACTTAAGATGGTATTCTTCTGTAATTGGGGTTGTTTGTCCATTTGACTTGATCTGTGACGAGTGTAACCTACTCAATTCTGTCTTTCTCCATTTTCTATGTTATTCTCTGAACTTATCTCTGTCTTCCGGGCCTATTTGACTCGAACAATTAAGGCTTAGGATTTTCTAACCTGGTGCCCTATGGTCGTCTGGCTTGGGAGTCATTGGCCCAAAGTTTATTACCAGGGTCATTTCTGTCGCCTAATGAGGGTAGAATTGCACCTAAATTCTTGCGTTATTTAAAAAAAATGGCATACAGTTAGGGAGAGTAAAATTGTGACAATAATACTGTTTGTTATAGGTCCTCGTGAAATTGGATTTGACTGTCACTTGGTCGATATACACTCCTTTACAGTTATTTTCACATGTCCTTTCTCACTAATTTAAGGTTTTGAGTCTAACTTGCATGGACTACATCGCACATTTCACGTTGATGTTCTGTATACAATTTACTCCACGAGATTTTGAACTATGTGTGGACTTAAGGTTTGTCTATGTGTTCTGAATGTTGAGTTTGTGATTTTGTGCTTATTGTTCGCATCGTCTACATATTTGGGTATTTGCTTCATCTTCAATTTTTGGATTGTTTTGATAAAACAAAAATTCAAAATGAAAATAAAAATAAACGTTTCATTTTTTTCGCGCGATTCGATCTTTTTCTCGCCTTCTTCCTTTTTTTCTTTTCTTCCATCAATATTATTCACTTTCCATTAAATTTTGCCTCAATTCGACACCTTTAACACAGTTCTTGATCCGAAGTTTCAACTCTTGGCTTCACATTTTTGGGTAATTCACAATTTCGATTTTTTTTAACTGTTTCTTTGTTTTTTTAATTTGTTTCTCTCATTGCTTCGTTATATTGTTGTTTTGTGCATTCCTTGGCTATTTCTATTGTTCTTAAACATGTTTTGCATCACCAATTTCCATGAATTGTGCATTACTATAGTTTTTCTTCACATGTTTTTTACACTTTTGGTCCATTTTCATTGGAGTCGTTCTTGCGTTTCGTTAATTGGTTTGATGTGTGGCTTGGATGGTTGTAAAGTCCATGGAGTGTAGTTTTTAGGGATGTGTTTGGATTTGTGATTAGGTCCCGTATGTGCTTGGAATTTGGTGCCGAAGTCGCGCCCGTCACGTGTTTGATGAAAGTTCACCTCTTATGTGTGTTTTGGTTTTCTTTGTTTTTCTTCTTTTTTCCTTCATTCTTTCCTATTTTTTTGTATGTCGTAACGTGCCGTGTGTGTCTTCTTTAAAATTTGTGTGGTTTGATCATATTTTTGGACTCTCACTCAGCCATGCTTGTTTTGTTCTGCGTGTCGTTTACGTGGTTCAATGCATTTTCTTTATGCCTCATCTGTGTGTTTGTGTGTGCATCTTCTCATGTCATATTATATCGTGGTACGTGCATTTTTCATGGTATTTATTCTTTCCATCTCCGCGTGTGCCAAATGGCCCATAAGCATTCTCGTCCCTCTGCACAGCCCACTAGTGGTTCGACATCTTACAGTAGATCCAGGTTTATTTCTGCTACAGCTCAGGAGGTCTTCACTTCTCAGTTCTCCTTGCACCCCGTTCTCATGGAGCGTGAGGTAATTTTGTCTGACCTTCCTGTCGATATCGCCGCTATCTTTGTTTCCCGGGGTTGGGAGCCCCTTCTTATTGGTCTTACACCGCCGCCTCCACTCCTAGTTCAGGAGTTTTATACTAATATTCATGATGTGGACGGCTCGTCATTTAGGGTTTTTCTTAGAGGTCATTCTTTTCGAGTTACTCTGTCTGCGGTAGCTCTTGCGTTAGGTATACCTCAGATTCCCCATCCGACTTATCCTTACATTCTTCTTGCTTCTCTTCCGGCCAATGCCCTTGTTCGGTCGACTCTTTTGAACACCCCGTCTGCTGGGGGGCCTACGGCGACGGCCACGGATTCCTTACCTACTGATAGACAGGTCTTGTTGCGTATCGTGTGCACAAACCTGTGGCCCGTTGCCCATACTTCTTCTTTACCTATGGTGCGGGCCCATTTTCTCTATGCCTTTCTTCACGGGGACTCTATAGACCTTCCTAGTTTTGTGTGCCAGCAGATTCTGACTTCGTTTCGTACTCCTAGGGGTCGTATAGGTTTGCCTTATGCCTGTCTGATTCATAGGGTTGTCCTATCTCTTGGTGCTTCTTTCCCTGAGGGGTCGTCTGGTCGTATAGGTCGTCTAATAGGACAGCAGACCATCCACCAGATTTGATCCCACATCCCGTCCTCTTCTTCTACTCATGTTGCAGCTCATGATGAGCCAGTTGATATTTTTGACTTTTCGGAGCCCCTTGATCTTATTAGTGACATCCTTTCTAGGGTTTCTCGTGTCTTTCTTCCTCCTCGTTTGGATATTCCTCCGGCTCCTCCGTCTCAGACTGACCTTCCTTTGACGTCTACTTCCACTCCAGGGGTGGCTTTCTTGCCCATTGACCCCATGGTGACACTTATGGGACAGATGTCTACTTTGGTCAAGCAGCAGGCTCGTATGATGGCCGAGATCAAGCAGTTACGTGCTGCTTTGGAGCGTCAGTCTGCTGAGCTTTCTACATTTTGACGTGCTCTGGTTGTGTGTCAGCGTCAGTTACGTTGGATCCGTGATCGCTTGGATGAGAGCACGAGTGACGAGACTGGTGATGAGTCTTCGAGTGCGGGTGGTGCTGCCGCGTAGTTTTTGTTTTTACTTCTTTGTCCTTTGTGACAAAAAGGGGGAGTAGATATATGATAGATAGATAGATAGATCTCATTTTTTGATTAATTGTGATATAACTGTGGTTTTGTATCTATTCAATGGCTAGATTAAGTTTTTGATGTTTTAGCAATATTGATGTATGTTTTTGGTGTTTTTGACTTACATTACTATTGCTTCTTAATCTGGCTAATGACATACGCACTATTCCTTGTTTTATTTACTGTTTCCATTTCACGTGCTTTTACACTTGGTATTGAGTTTCTGTATTTTAGGAAACAGGTTCGACAAGAGATAGCTGATTTGGTTGAATAGATAGGTCGTTTAGAGTTACATTTCTTTTTGTGTCCTTGACTGTCTTGTGTAATTTTGTCACAGAATGCCAAAGGGGGAGTTTGTTAGCAAAATGTTGTAATTGGCAATCTGTGACCAAAAGGACCAATTTGTCAAGTTTGTAAAGTCAAGGACTAATTTGTAAAGGTCTAAAAGTTCAGGGACTTGTGTTACAATTTAGCAAAATTTATGGTATAGGTCTAGGGTAAAGTTGGGTGCCTTGAAGATGAAAACGGCGCAAGATCACGCTAGAGTTTCGCCCTCACCTCGCTCAAGCCTAAATAACAGAATCTATCTCGCTAGAGTTTCACCACTGCTTCGCTGGAGCGAAAGTGCGTCATTAGAGTTTCGCTGGCACTTCGTTGGAGCGACAGTGTTATCCGGCTTTTGGTAATTTTCCTTCCTTCCAATTTTTAGAAGCTTCATACTACCAAAAATGACCTCATATATATTCAAAAATCCCGTTTTTCATACACAACCTTTGGAAAAACACAATTGAAAGATTTTTCTTCTCAACCAAAGGATCAACTTCATAATTCCTTCTTTTCATCATATGTCTTATTGAAGAAAAACATCAAACACCTCTTAAAGCAAAACACCTTCCAAAAATCCTCACTACTTCCAGAAGATCAACTGATTGAAGATCCGGGAGGGAGATTGATTGAAGAACTGGAGTTCTTGCTGATTCACGGGAAATAGAAGAAGAACAATGCTAGGATTTTGGCGCAGATCTGCAGAATCCAGGAGAGTTTCGATTGATACAATAAGGAGGTCAGAGTGTTGTTAAATATAGTCATGTCTGTCATACTGTAAGTTGAAGTCTTCTATAGTGAATCCCTACTGGCTTGTGCCCGGAGTTTTTACCCAGTTGAGTTTTCTCCGTCAACAATTTGTTGAGTTATTTATTGCTTTCTGTCATTTTTAATTCAATTGGAAATTCAACATAGGTAGTTAAATCATGTGAATGAATCTCGACAAAGTTTAATTTATGTGACTTGTCGCATAAGTTGATTGAATTGTTAAAATTCGCATAAACACCTATTCACTCCCCCTCTAGGTGTTGTTTGGGTCGAACTATAGTTTGTTCTGGTTCGAAGGTCGAATTAAGTCAATTAGATGGAAAGGGGGAGTACTCTATGTGGAAACAGAAAATGGGGGCCATTTTGGTCCAACAGAGGGTTGCAAAAGCCCCTGATGATCCAAAAAAATATCCTGATGAACTTAAAGCAAAACCCAGTGAAATTGAAGAGATGAACGAAATTGCATAAAGTTCAATAATTTTGCATTTATCTGATAACATCGTTAGACAAGTTGATGAGTCTAAGACTGCCAGAGATTTATGGACTGCTCTTGACAATATGTTTCTGACTAAAACTTTACCAAATAAAATCTATCTTTTGAAAAAAACTATTTAGTTTCGAATGGACCTATGAAAGGACTTAGAATAGAATCTATGTGACTTTAGTATTATTGTTAAGAGTTTGGCACATAATGATAAAAAGTTTGATGATGAAGACCTTGCTGTGATTTTATTGAATGCATTACCTGAATCACATAAATACATTAGGAATGCTATTAAGTACTCTAGGGATAAGTTGACCCAAGCTATATTGACAGATGCCTTAAGAACTAGAGATCTAGAGGTAAGGAAAGAGTCTAGGTCTAACCCTAGAGATGAGAGTATGCTTGCTAGGGAAAGACTAGAGAAGAGGGAAAATGGATTTCAACGTAAAAAATCAAGAGAGAAATCAAAAGGGAAATCAAAATCTTGAGACAAGAGTGATAAAAAATGTTACCACTGTGGTAAGACATGTC